GTTATTTTGATTCCAATTTCGTAGGATGCCAAGATAGTAGGAGATCCACTTCAGGCTATATTTACTTGCTTGCTGGAGGTGCTATTTCCTGGAAGAGTGCTAAGTAGACACTCATAGCTACTTCCACTATGACAGCGGAGTTTATAGCATGTTATGAGGCATCAAATCATAAAATATGGCTACGTAATTTTGTCACTGGGCTGTGCATTGTGGACAATATAGAAAGACCGCTCAAGATATTTTGTGACAATAAATCAGCAGTGTTGTATTCCAATAACAACAGGAGCTTAACAAAGTCAGAACATATAGAGATTAAGTTCCTGGCTGTTAAAGAAAGAGTTCAGAGTGGACAGGTGTCAATCGAGCATATTGTGACAAACTCCATGATTGCGGATCCACTTACTAAGAGATTGATACCCAAGGTCCTTCATGAACACACTGCTCATACAGGTATAGTGTCTTTTGAGGATATTTAGTTTCAGTGGGAGTTTGTACTTTTGCTTTTCATATTGAATACATGTACTGTTATTTTGGATACGATTTAAGATTAAAGTTATTTTCGATTATAAGGTTTATTTGGTTTACTATCTCTGAACTTTTTTAAAATGATCTCACAAAGGCATTAAGGTGGACCAGTTGGAAATAGGGATGTTACAGATCACATCACATGTAATTTCCATGCTACACATCCATGCTTGATCCATGTCATTTGGTTATATCGTTATATGTGACCATTGATGGGTTTAGCTTCAATGAAGATACCGAAAGTCGCTTTGATCCTATGTTGATATGATTGATGAACAGGATTGTTTGGGGATACATTCAATAATGATAGCAAAATTCTGAGTACTCATAAGGTTATGTTTAATGCACAATTATAAGGTGACACATATAGCTCAAGTGGGAGATTGTAAGGATTTTTTAATCAATAGATGGGCTTATATGTGTGAATAATTGTGTGTTAAATTAAAGGCTATCGAATTCAGTTGAGCCCAATTAAAGTGATATAATAAGGCTTCAGTTTTTGGATTTTAATGTATCCAATTAAAGTGTGGGTTTACGTATGTGTAGAGACCGGGTCCAAGTCCTAATTCTTTGATGGGCCGAATTAGGTCAAAAGGCGTCATTATATAAATACGGTTATGGTCCCTAAATCACACGTACGTATTATTCATTCTCTTCTGCATCCCATCACAGAAAGAAAAAGGAGGCTGCGTGTAGATTTGGAAGACAAGACCG